CCCGGCCCCGGCCCCGGCCCCGGCCCCGGCCCCGGCCCCGGGCTGCCGGTCAGGAGGACAGAGAAGGCGCCGGGGGAGGGCCGAGACCCGGGTCTGCAGCCGGCGGGGAAGCCGGCGGAGGGAAGCGGAGGGGCGGCCCCATCCGGCCCGCCAAGGTCAGAAACGTGGTTTGAGTTTGTTTGTTTGTTTGTTTGTTGAGCCGGAGTCTCACTCGGTCGCCCAGACTGGAGCGCAGGGCCGCTCCCGGCCACCGCAGCCTCCACCTGCTGGGCTCCGGCGATCCTCCCGCCTCGGCCTTCCGAGTAGCCGGAACGACAGGCGCTCGCTACCACGCCCGGCTACTTTATTTATTTATTTGTTTGTTTGTTTATTGTAGAAATGAGGGCTCGCCAAATTGCCCGGGTGAGTCTCGAACCCGCAGGCTCAGGCAATCCACTCGCCTCCGCCACCCAAAGCGCTGGGATTACAGGCTAAGCCAACGATCCCGGCCGTGGTTTGAGTTTTAAAGAGGGTGTCAGAAAAGTGTGAAGATGGACACTTTAGAATTTCTTCAGACCCAACCTCAAAAGCTACATGGTATCACTTCCTTCTTAGGACACAGGTCAGTCCATACTCAAGGGGAGAGCATATTGCCACTCTCCTGAAGGTAAAATCTAAAAATTTCAACCATCTTTATTACACCACACCTCTATACATTTTGGAAATAATAAGGAAAAAGTTTCTATCAATATTTCCAAAGACATTTTATCGTCTGTCTCGTGATTCTGAATATGGTTTGCATCTGTATTTTGAACTAAATGTGGTTTGCATTTGCACTGTGAATCATTGAATTGTGAACCTCGTTCAAATATGAATGTAATTGCAAAAGAATGAAAACACAAATGAGATGTCATTTTTGTCCAGATGATCTGCTCCGGTACTGAGAAAAGCTTGAAAGGACTTCTGAAAAAATAAGTTAAGTCTTAAGCATCTTAAATGCAGCTATGCTACTCTATTTCAAAAGAGGTAGAAAGTGAGGAAGGGGGAAGGGGAAAGAGCTAATTTTAGCCACAACTACTATTGATGGGAGATAATTTACACTGAGAGAGGAGGGTTTCATCAAAACTTGAACTTTTTTTTATTTTTTATTTTTTCTTGAGTCAGAGTCTCACTCTGTCGCCCAGACTGGAGTGCAGTGGCCGCTCCCGGTCACCACAGCCTCCACCTGCTGGGCTCCGGCGATCCTTCCACCTCAGCCTTCCAAGTAGCTGGAACTACAGGCGTTCACCACCATGCCCATCTAATTTTTTTTTTATTATTTATTGTAGAGATGAGGTCTCGCCAAGTTGCCCAGGCGGGTCTCGAACCCGCGAGCTCAGGCAATCCACTCACCTCACCCTTCCAAAGCATGGGATTACAGGCTCAGCCACAGAGCCCAAACTTACTGTATTTTTTACTAGAAGTCTAATCTCTACTTATCTTATGACTTGATATATTTCTTGGGGAAATTTAGAATCTAGTAGGACACCATGCTGCTCTAGCACTTGACGATGACAAATAAAACAGAGAGAAAAACAAAAAAGAAACAGCCAGTCTCAAAGACAATATAAACAGCTCTGTGGTCCCAAATGAAACAGAAACAGAAAGCCCTGGGTTAGCACTGTGTACCTGCTGTCTTCCAGGTAAAAACAGGCAGTGACAGAGGGGAGTTTGGGTTTTACACAGTGATGGGAACTAACAACTAAACTCTGACCTTTTTTCTTTACCTGGCCAAATTCCCAACTAAGGGGCCTGGAGAGGCAGGCTTTTTAAAATTAATTATTTAATGCAGTTTCTTTTCCAGCCTGGTTCTGGCAGTAACATCACATAATACACATAACTGACATGGACAGGAAGACTATCATGTGGGACTCAAAACCTAAACTTTTCTCAATAGGCATGAAGATATTAGGCCATCAGCTAAGTGTGAGTGTGGTGACTTACACCAGTATCCCTGTAGTTTTAAGAGGACAAGGCAGGAGGGTTGCTGGAGTCCAGGAGTTCAAGACTGGCCTAGACAACATAGTGAGACATTGTTTCTACAAAAAAATTAGCTGGGCTTGGTGGCCCATGCCTGTAGTTCCAGCTACTCAGAAGGCTGAGGCAAAAGGATCAGGGTCATCGGAGCCTAGGAAGTAAAGACTGTGGTGAGTTATGATCATGCCACTGCACTCCAGCCTGGGCAAAAGCGTGAGACTCCAACTCAAACAAATAATAAGCAAACAACTTTGATCCACAATTTACACTAAAATAAAAATTCTGGAGAAGTCTCTGAGGACTGACTTTGCACAAATGCAGATTAAAAATCAGATCAAAATAAAAGGTGCCATTAGGGTTCATAAAATTTGAAGGCAGTATAGGGTGCAGAGGCAGTAGATACCATAAGACCATCTGACGTGTCTGGAATCCCCTCCCTGCAGTTCGGGATTTGAAGTTGTACTAGATATAAACCCTACTTATCTTCTTGACTGCCACCTTGCTTCTGAAGGCACTGACTACCTCCCAGACTGTGCTGCTACTACCTTTGCCAGCAACTTTGCCAAGCTTCCTAAGGTGGCAGGAGTTCCATTTGAAGCCCTCAGCCTGAACTCCCCACCCTAAACCCCCAGGCTGAGTCATTCTTCCGTTCCCAGTTTGGATGAAATATCACACCATGAAGCTCTGGTTTCCTGAGCAGCCACCAAGTGGTTGACTGATCTAAGTGCAGGAGAGTCTATTTCCTGGGAGCTGAAATTTGACTCATAAGAAATGAGATATAGGTAGCGCATGCCTGTAATTCCGGCTACTGGGAAGGCTGAGGCGGAAGGATCGCCGGAGCCCAGCAGGTTGAGGCTGCGGTGGCCGGGAGCGGCCACTGCCCTCCAGTCTGGGCAACAGAGTGAGACTCCAACTCAAAAAAAAAAAAAAGAAAAGAAAAGAAATGAGATATAGTAAGGAACAGGGTGAGCTAATCTCCGCTCCTTGATTCTCCTGGAAATTTTTTTTTCTTTTTTTTTTTTTTTTTTTACTTTGAGTCAGGTTATCCTCAGGAGCTGGAACTACAGTGTGTTCTACTACACTTGGCTAATTTTCCTTCTTTCCTCCCTTCCTCCCTCCCTTCTTTCCTTTCTGTCTTTCTTTTTTTCTTTCTAGACGAGGTCTTACTATGTTGCCCAGGCTGGTCTTGAACTCCTGGGCTCAAGCAATCTCCCACCTCAGTCTCCCAAAATGCTGGGATTACAGACTTGAGCCACCATGCCTAGCCCCCTGGGAACTTTTTTTTTTTTTTTTTTTTGAGTGGGAGTCTCACTCTGTTGCCCAGACTGGAGTGCAGTGGCATGCTCCCGGACCCCACAGCCTCGACCTGCTGGGCTCTGGCTGCAGTGGCCATGTCATCCAGGCTAGAGTACAGTAGCATGCTCATGGCCACTGCAGCCTTGAACTGCTGGGCTCAGGGGATCCTTCCACCTCAGCCTTCCAAGTAACTGGGACTACAGGCATGTGCTAGCATGCCCAGCTAATTTTTTGATTTATTATAGACACGAGATCTCACCAAGTTGCCCAGGCTGCTCTCAAACCCATGGGCTCAGGCAATCTTCTCACTTCTGCCTCCCAAAGCACTGGAATTACAGGTGTGAGCCACTGTGCCCCACCCCCTGGGAACTTTAAGACTTGTTTTCTCTCTGAAGAGAACTTCTGCAAAGAGTGACTCCAGGTCCTGAGCCAACATCCCTAGCTTCACTGCCATGTGGCAGCCAGTGCGGTAACACAGCCCATCATCACAGCATGTTGCTTCCCAGCTTGTTCTTGCCTTCTTTCCCCCGTTTCTTCATCTTTACCATCCTGGGTTTGCAAGTCCCAAATAAAGTGTCAGCTCTTCAGTTCTTGTCTCAAGCTCTACTTTGCAGAAAAGAGTTTCCAGCAGAGAACTCTGACAACAGGACTCATTTGATCGGAGTATGGTTATTTCCCCCTTAGTCCCCAGAACCACCCTCCACTTTTCTCCATCCTGCCCTCTTCCCTGGGAGGCTGCTGAACCATATCAACAGGCCTCCCACACCCTGTGGCCACCAGTTAGATCCAGCCTGTGGGGCCCTGGTAGGAAATTGAAGGAAAAAGTATTTGTCCTCCTGGTTCCCTTCCCATGAGAGATCACCTTGTGCTGGTTGTATCCCCCAAGTGCAAGTCACAGCTGGTGGTCTCTTTTTTGGGGGTGGGGGTGATTTGAGTCAGAGACTCACTGTGATATGCTCACGGCCACCGCAGCCTCGACCTGCTAGGCTCAGGTAATCCTTCAGCCTCAGTCTTCCAGGTAGCTGGAACTACAGGCAAGCGCCACCATGCCCAGCTAATTTTTTGATTTACTATAGAGATGAGGTCTCACCAAATTGCCAGGCTTGTCTCGAACCTCTGGGCTCAGGCAATCCTCTTGTCTCGGCCTCCCAAAGTGCTGGGATCACAGGTGTGAGCCACCTTGCCCCATGGTGGTCTCTTCTATCTGACTTTCTGATTTCTGAGAACTGCTTCCTCTTCCCATCCCTGTGGACCTGGGGGACATAATGACTCCACCTTTGGGGCACCTCTCCACCCTGTCTGCTCCTTTGTGATTAGTCTCTATAAATAAATGCTTCTTGCATTATTCCAGTTTAAGATTGCCATCTGTTTCCTGTTGGGACCAAGAGTGAAAGGAATGATTAAATAATGTGATGTATCTATGGTGGAAAACTGAACAGCCATTACAAATCATTAATGTTTGGTATCAAAAGAAAGTGATGCATTAGCATTTTTTAAAAATCACTTCCATGGCCACCACTTCAGGTCCCTCCCACTGTGGGTGTGGGAGCTTTTCTATCCTCTCAATAAATCCTGCTTTCTCACTTAAAAAAAATTACTTCAAAGGTCAAACAATCAGAGTTCTGGAAGAAAACAGAATTCCATTAAAGGGACTTCCCCAATGGGACTATTTGGGAGAGAGCGGGCAAAGGAAAGGGACTCAGTAAGGGAGGTGAAGCACCAGGTACAAGAAAGAGCGAAAACCACCCCTCCTGCTGAAGGGACCAGAGGAGGAGACAGTCTTACAGCCCAGAGCCTGGCAAGAATGGGTGTCCCAGAGGGATCTAGTTGTGGAAGAATGCAGGCCCTGACAGAGCCTGAG